TTAAACGTAAAAAACTTTCGTTGGACGAATTTTCTTGTAAACTTCATATTTACTGAGATATCGCACTTTGACGCACTAATGAGCAACCCTGTATAGTCGTCATTTTCAAAAATGAGTCGTTTATTTCTTTGATTTAAATTTTATCGTTTCGAATTTCGTTTTATATATTGAATTAAAGGTGCGCGTTAAATCTAAACGCAAGCAAAAAGGCACAGCTTTTTCGCTTCATAAATTTCACTGAAATGGTTTCGTCCCTGAGACATAAATATTGAGTATTAAAATTAATTCTTCAAATATGCCATTATTAGGAACAGCGAAAGAAAGAGGCACATTCAGATGACAGAAAAAAGGTTGGCAAATCAACCCACTTTTGTGTAACCACTGGTGGAAATTGAATTTAAATTAATGGTCGAGGTTTTAAACAAATCTTACAACGTTCCAACAAAATTTACTATACACAATCTATTCCATAGCTTGATTTTTTGCCTCGAAAACAAAAAATTTTAAAGATAAATTTTTGTTAATTTTTTATAGTAACGAACCAACCAATATGGGTAAGTTCTTGGAAATTCCGTATCAACTATATTTGAGCCAAAAGATGCCCAGTATGGGTGTACATTGAAAAGGTCAGTAGAACAGACTGAAGCAGGTGCTACCGACTAATGATTTATTGATCAAAATATAATTTTCTGTGGCTACTATCTCAAAGTTAATTTTTTTCAGACATATTGACCATATCCATTCGGTTGACACCAAAACCTTACCACGATAAATGAGTAAGACTTTTAAAAGTAATTTTTTTTGTCTCATTAAATGCAACTGAAACGACTTACCTGTTTATGATTCCACATGACGTTTACACTGGGTTTTCCTCTTCTAAAATCGGACTGATCTATAACATCGTCGTGGACCAATGAAGCTGTGTGGATCATCTCTGAAATCATAGCTACTTCCCTTTGTGAAGCCAAAAGCGCACTGCAATGAAAAAAACATCATATTGACTTAATTTCATTATTTTGCCTCTGCTATTCAGGAAGATAATAATATATTATTATACAAGCATTTTATGAACGTCTTTATTGGCCATAAGAACTGAGTGTTACACTGTACTTTATTCACGAGTAATTCAAGATTTCTTCCAAAGTTCTTTTAATCGTGTCAATACCACATAGACTGGAAAGATACGTACTTTAGCCAAGAAGAAAATGAAGCTATATTTATTATTACTCTGTATAATATTCAACATATATTAAATAACAAAGAAATAAAAATAACTGTACTATATTTTGACCTACTGGGTACAAGAGGATAATCATAAGTAACTCTCATATATAAAACTAATATTTAATTGGACACATTCATAAATAGTCTAATATTGAACAGTCCACTATAGAAGGCCTTATAACTCCCTGTTACTATCAATTGAAAAATAAAATGTACATATGTAGATAAAACCAATAACACTTTCATCAACGTCCTTCCTTTATAATTCCGCTTAGTTTCGGTTTGATTTAATAACCTTTTACTGTCAGTTACAGTATTTATTGTACACTAAAAGAACTTGAACCATTTTATGTTTCCGTTTGACCATATACTTTTCCCTTTTCCTGGTGATAATTTATCGACATTGACACTAACGTGGCGCTACTTACTTATCTATTTACTTATTAATGTAGGATTTCCAAATGTTTAAAATAAAGAACAACAAATAAATACCAAATGGGAATAGCAGTTGCTCCAAGGAAAAGTGGAGGAGGACCTGATCTTGGAACAAAGAAAACGATATGTAAAATACATTAATTTAACATAAAGATGATAATCATCCGGTACCTGTACAAGGTGGTTTCGGTTAACATGCCCTTGAAATTTAAAAAATTTTGATACTCAGATGATCCCACAGTATTATTATGAATCAATAATAAATTTCATAAAATGTCCGTTGTATCGTCTAGAGGAGACGTCTGAAAACATTGGGATATTAAAATAACCCAGTAGCTGAAATGTTTTATTTATTTCCATTTGTTAAACAAACCGCCATAAATATGCAACAACGTGTATGTACTTTATTAGTTATTAGTCTCAGCACTTTGATATGAGGCTTGAATTTACAACCAAATCCTTTTGTATGAGCTGAGGATAATTAATTTTATTGCCTATTGGCTGATGAATTGTTAAGTAAAAGCACTATAAATAGAAGCCTATTAGGCGCACTCCAAAACGAACAAGGAGGACTAATTACTGAGCCGCTACTGTACCCGTAAAATTAAACAATGTATCAAAATATACAGTAACAAAAACAATTACAAGCAACACATACAAATCATTCTAATATGGGTCTTTATACATTTTGAGGAATTGAGATCTGAATATAATTTTTTTAGTAAGAACCAATCTTCAGCATTCAGTTTCCACGCATTATCAACAGCTTTTGATATGATCAAAAATGTAAAATGCATCTGAACAGTAGCTATTACCCCCCGAAAGATTCGTTTATCTTGTTTACAAGTCTAAGTATATGATTCTGTAGTTCTTCCGATCTGCTATTTTTGAATAATTTTATTATCATCCAGTATGGCTTTGAATTTTTCTGTATAATTTTTTTTTATAATTTACGGTTTTTGCCACTAATAAAAGGCCAACTAATGAAATAATTAATATTCACCAGATTCATGAAAGAACATGCTTAACTGGAGGAAAAAAATAAACGAAGGCGAGCTGTGACACCGTAGTTACACGCATTTGATGGCTTAATTGATTAAACTTTAAAACAAAGATTACTTTTTACGACTTTCTTGTGGACCGTTAGAAGCCATTTTTATACAAGAGTCCAGAAAAGTTCCCAAATAAAGACATATTTAAGAAATACTCAACTGCAGAAAGTATTTTTATTTGATTCAAGCAATATTCATATTTTGCCTACGAATGTATAGCGACAAAAACCATTTGCAAAAGAAACTTTCATATAACTGTCTTAACCAGGAAATGACGAACTTCGAGCAGTAAAACCGTTGAATATTTTTCCAAATAAACGTTGTTCATGGAGACGTTAATTATATTAGATATGTAATAAAGTATGTCCCCCTTTTATTAAATTACATAATTTTTTTTATCTATTTGCGTTTAGTCTATATCATTTTTAGGTAACTTGGATGTTCTATTGCAAAAGATGTTTTCAAAACCTGCCAAACCATCAGATTCAATTCCAAGAAGAATTTTGCCATATTACAATAGCAAAAATAAATAATTGCTGTTGATTGTGGCCAAATTGTACGAAATTTAGCAGTAAAAGAAACATTTACTCCTTCGCCAACTATTCAGGTTTTTTTCTAATAAAATGACGACAAAAGCTGGGCCTAATCTTTAAAAAACTCATTATACACTAAAATCGAATGTAAATTCGAAGGTAAAAGCGCAGAACAAACATCCGTCTGATTACTAAGTAAGTACTCGATTTCGAAGTTTTCGCAATTTCAAGGAACGCGGAAGTGATTATAAACGATTTAATTAAAAGCTCTCCAAGTGTCATCGTCTGAATAATTATTACTTACGAACCATTGTGATTTAATTATAATACTACCGTCCTACTGCCGCTCTTGACATTTGATTAGCATTATTTTAGTCCGTCTTTTAAATCAAACTAACAGGTAGTCCTAATAGCTCAATACTGCACTTTAATAAGAAAAAATAGTGACGTTTTTTCTGTGTGTATTAAAAGTGTTATAATTAGCAATTAAAAAAGTTAATTAGAAAATCAGGAATAAATGTTATTAATAACAATGAATTGTCTAGGTACAGCTAAATGAATTAAACATAATCGGCCCATATGATGTTGAATTGTAATTAATAAGACGTGACAATGAATGAGTGGAAGCCTTGAATTCCATTTACGACAATCATTACCTGATCAAGTAATTTTAGAAACATCTTGTCTATAAAAGTCTGAAAAAAGTGGCTAGAATAACTTTGCGTCAGATTACAAAAATATTTATCTATACACAAAAGTAATATTTAGCAAAATATGCACTAACTAATCGATAAAAAACTAGTTTATTGTACGTACATTGAGTAAAGATTTGTTTCGATTGCCAAATATTGTTATGAATTGCAATTTCTTGAAATTGATGATATAGTTTATCCTTAAATAATAGCTATTATTATTAATGCGTTCATAATTAATATTATAATTTTATTTGTAATGAAATAATAATTAATGCAAAGAGAGCACACCATATAATTTACTAAATCTCTATTATGAATCCATACTTTCAGTAAAAATAAATCTAATGCTGAGATTTTCTCCAGTTGCAAAAGTTACTCTGTTGGTTTATTTCAGATTAACTTGTTTGCAAACATGTGAGTTTTCCCTGAATAATCATGTATTTCAATGAGAATATCAACGCCGAGTTTCTGGTTTTCTTCCGACTATCTATAACTAGGACATTCACTGCGGAAATAAAGAAAAAGGTTTTGCTTGAAATGAAGATAGAAAAACCACTGAGAACGTAACTAACTGGTCGAGCAAAATCGAATCGCAAAATATTTCAATGTTGATGCCATACTTAGTCTACATTCCACTTAAAAAAACGGTTGTTTTTAAGTTAAAGTTACTTAACACCTAGACAAAAATATGAACTTGGATTTTTGCTCATTGAAACGGCGATTTGATTAAATCAGCAACTAAAAAAATGATGATTGACAAAAAATAAACGGAAAAAGTTATATAAAATATTTGATAAATCACAGTAAAAGAAGTAAGTTTTGAAAAGAAAAGTGATTAATGCCATGTTAATTGCATCTTGGAACAGGACGATACGGCCGAGTACAGGCAGCGTTGCTGAAAATTTAGGCCATTTGAAAGTAAAAAGCGGCTGCTTCTTGTGAAACCGTTTGTCATTGACCACAAATTAGCATCCACACAGTATGTGTGTACCGATCAACTATGCCCATTCTTGCCCAATGTAATCAATATTATCTAATCATGGAAAATGTTTAACTAGTGTTAAATAATTTACAGAATAATGATGACAACTGAACAATTTACTTAGTGACATAGAATGACCCAGAATTAAAATAAAAATGCAAAAGTGTTAAATGACCAGATATGTATTATGGTGGATTGAAAAGGAGTTAATTTTCTCCTAAATTCTAATCAACTGATTGGTTTTATGCGATGTAAAATTGCAACATGACGCCCAAATTCAAGGTATGTGGAAAGTATGGAAGACATGTTTGTTAAACATTCAATAATAAGTTGATTATCTGATTGTATTAGCTGGCAGCTTAGTGGCAAATTTAAGTTAAAAATTAAAGGTAAGTATCTGGCAAAAAAAATAAAAAACGAATATCTTATGAAAAGCAGATTTGGTCTAAATTTGAAAGCAGTATTACCTGTTTTCTTTGTACATGTGATAATTGATAGCCCTTGCCATTAGAATAGCAACCATAGGTCTTAGGGCTTTCCCATTTCCATCAAAATAGTATGTGGCTATTTCGTAGAGGCCCTCTTGGTACGTATTTCTCCTAAGCACCTATAACAAACAATCAGTAAGAGATTTTCACAACCTTTAAAGTAGTTACTTAATTTAAGTTAACTTTCCATAATTATGTAAAACGTAACAATTGAGGATCGGCTAATTCAACCTCCAAATATTAAAATGTGAGAATATAAGCTAGTTTTTGTTAAGCTAAAATTATTCTCATGAAGATTAGACAGGATTAATAACAAAATATATAAAACAACTCAGAATTTTAATTTTTTCTAAATATTAGGTAATGTATGTACGAATATATAGTAGAAATTTAAAAAAGTCATACTTTTGAAATTCATGTTTTACGCTTTGCGAAATACGAACACAACGCAAGTACCAACCCCTTAGGTTCTATGAAAAGTTTTCTATAAACTATACTTTTGATGGCATAAATTAAATTTTTTGACTAGTAACATTACAAGTTGATAACTCGGTTTACTTTGCCACTCGCTGTGCTCTATCTGCGCTCTATGTATAATAATATAATTCTGAATGATTTGAAAGTAAATGGAACCAACAATGAATAATTCACTGCATATATCGACACTTTCAAGTAGTTGAATACTAATTAAAATGAAATAAATAAATTAAATTTGAAACAAAATAAATTAGTATCTTTCAATCTTTCATTAGTTTCAAGAATGAAATTAATACAAATAGAATTAAGAATACTCATCGCCGATGTAATTATAATTTTTCATTCCAATATTAATTGAAAATATGACGGAATAAGTGAAACTAAAAGCCATTAACACATTTCGGCATTAAGCATCAACTTGACATGATTGAAAACTGTTATACTCGAACTCACAACTAGGCCTTCGCAACATCTTCAACAATGGTCTTTGAAAACTTAATGGAAAACGATTTCTGCAACAATACCCAACGTTGGTTCGTTATAATGATGCTTAGAAGACGACGCACTTAAAATAATCCAGCGCCAATTTTCTCAAACCTTGAAAAAATGGCGTAATGCTAAACATAATAATGAAGATGATGATGAGAGCCCGGTTAGAGTTACTGTGAAACTTATCGTCAATAGTTTGTTGCAATGATTCCCTCTAAGCAAGGTTATTAAATGTCTGATGTATTCGAATGGAACTACGTTACTTGAAGGTGTGGAAAAAACACAAAAATTTGCTTGGAACGGACCTTCACATCCGTTTCGATGAACCTCTGATGATTTGAACAAAACTGTTGAGGAACTTTCAAAATATTTGAAAAATATCAGGATCAACTCACGGTTTTAATATAACTATATACATCCTTAAGATCGTCTTCCAGCAATCTGTAAGGATCTACTTGGTACTCTGGCATGGGTCCTGGTTGTTGGGTATTCATGGTAGCGTAGGATCGTAATGTTGTCATGACTTGCTCGGGACGTACACAAGGATGCATTGGTGACACTGCTGTAGCCTGCACATTGCGTTGTGATCGATTCTGAAACAAAAAAGACATAAATAATTTTAGCTTAAACAAACCCCAAAGTATTAATTAAACAATCATTAGTACAATAGCAAACAACTTCCAAACTGCGGAGCAACTGATTCCAAATTGATATGTTTGGACTTAAGTAGATAGATAATTGTAGAATAAATAAATGTATTAAAAATTTTTCGAACAAATCCACCTCAAAATATGTATGTTGCTTTTACTCTCACTTTGCACTTTTTGCGTGCATCATCGCCTTAACTCAAAAATCATTCTACATTTTTCAAACACTCAAGTTCCGTACATTCACACAAAATTCTTAGATTTTCTAGTGGATTATTTTGAACTATTTTGAAAATTTGCCAATTGATATTTGGCCATGACTATAAAAAAATCCTGCGGTGCTAACTACGAAAACCCTATAAAGTTTCTCCCTGTTCAGTCATTTCCTTATCATTATACGGTCTTTCATAGGAAATTATTATGCACAGCAATACATTTTAATTATGCAGGATGATGCAAGCACATTTTTGTATACCTAATATTGATAGATGTGCATAACAAATCCAAAGTAATTGTAGATATGTTCACACAGAATGCTAATTATGCTTGCCTATGTCACTTATAGGAAAACCGATTAGGAATATATAAAAAAATTAAGGAAACGTATAAACAATTCTATATAAAGTGAAGGTTTATAATTTCCCCAGGTACTAAAATGATCCTATTTAATTTTTTTTCCAGTTTTTCTTTATGATTACAAAGTATTTTACGGAACAATCGTTTGTTAGCAAGTCTCTTCATTGACTTCACTTCACAAAATTGCATTTGTTTTTAATGCAAATCTAAATATGATCAGAAGAAACAGCTCAAACAAAAAAATTATAATAAACTTTAATGATTTTATTAATAAACCGAAACCAGTTTAAAAAGTAATAATTTGCTTCATATAGGCGTTAATAACTGTGTTTCTGAAAAAGTATTTATCGTATAGCGTCTCTAATGATCGTTTCTTTACAATTATGACCCGATCGCTACTAAAACTACCTAATTTAAAACTCTTCTTTTTCTGCCTTCTGTTGGAAAAACTATTATAATTGACTCCGTAGCCTATTAACTTTAACACAAAAAAATATATCCAAACAGTGGGAAATATTGCATATGAAATATAATTTAAATCAAAATGGCTAGCAAAGTGGTTATTAGGAAAATCACAAAAAGCCAACAGCATACAAATTGTTCGATAAAACGAAAGTCTAGGAAAGCATGTGTTTCCAAATCGAAATTAACTCACATATAACAGTGTCTTTTTCGCTGTTCAAAAGTAATTAATATTTGAATATTTTACTTTATTATGCAAACGAGTTCGCTCCGGATTAATTAAAATTAATGAATGATCAATTAAAACAATAACTAATATTCATCCTAATTGGACTAATGTCCACAATTATTGGACTAAAGGAGATCGAAAAGAAATGAAAGGCAGCCGTTAAATCCGAATTTACTGTCTCAACGGATACCAATAAAATATGTGCTAAAGAGGATCCCAGTGCTAGAGAAAATGTTGTCACACGCTTTAGACCTATAAAAGTGTTTTATGAATTTAAAAATAAGAATGTTACCTTCAAATACCACGAGATAAACGTTTAGATGTGCTAACAATGTGTATGAAAATAATCAACCATTCCAATAAAACGCCTTTAACCGATAATAAACTCGCAAATGCATAGTTTCGATATACTTGCTGGCGTTTGATTGCATTTTGCTTATTGGACCTAAGCGATTCCGAAACGTTTGATTGTTATCACAAAATAGTAATCGGATGCAATATAATTAAGCATAATAAAATAGACAAAACGTTGTAAAACTGATGTGGCAACGCTAATTCGAGTTTCACAATAAAAGCAATTATTTTGTATTTCAGGTCTGATTATAACCATGCATTCCCCTCTTAACGGTTGCAAGAGTAAAAGTTGACCGTGGTTCTTCCCAACCGTTGGAAAACGTGAAAAAACGCAACGATTTACGATTTCTATCAAATAAATTGGTTTAATTGTTACTGCCATTGCACTTATTTCATTTCTCCTTTTAGCTTATGCATCATTTCTGACTAAAAAAAAAATATAAAAAACCATTCATGATTTTTGTAGCAAACAATCAAGTGAATACAACGAAATAAAAAAGAGTATTCATATATCTTCATATTACTTTAAAAATATATGTGTTATATCTGATTTGACTAAAAATATACAGAGAAAATTAGCAGTGTAATAAAATAACAATTAATAAATACAACATAATAATATAGCAAAAAAATGGTCAAACAACTTAAGTTTTTCCAATATACTTGGTTAAATATGTTTACAATATGCAGAATAAGTACAAATAGTACGAATATGAAGAAGTACAAAATTATAAAGAAAATTGTACAAATCTGATAATATATTCAACAAATAAACATAACCTACAATAATCACTTGCAACGAAAGTAAAGTAGTGAAATAGATAACACAAATTAAAGCAAGGTATACGTCGAACAAAACCAATCAGTTTGCAGATGAAAACTACGAAAAATTTAAAAAAACAAGTAAAAATTTGTTTTAGCTTTAGTTATTAGTTGTATGTATGCTCCCTTTATATTGGATATATTTTTTTTATTCAAAACACGTTGAAGAATAATATTAAAATAAATAATAATAATAAAATAATAATATTCAAATAATTACATAAAACCCAAGTGAAAACACAAACATTTCCAGGCGTACAGGCAAATATTTAAAAGCTTATTGAATACATTATTATATTTTAGTGTTATTCAACAATTTACACTAATACTATAATGTACATAGTAAATAACCTAAATTATATGTTCAATCTGGTTCAACATTTATATGTATTATTTAACCACAAATAGCCTTCACATTAGATAATCGCTGAAATGATATTTCACACTAAAGAATATAAAATAACGCAACTTCAAAAGCTAATGGGGTTAAGAGAATCTTAATAATTATGGGAGAAAATGAACAAAAAAATATATATAGGGCAGTTTGAACTCAATGAGCTATTTCATAGCTTCTCCTTAGCATGTTTAATAGGTTAAATTGAGGACGGGTTTTTGCTTGTAGTTGGGCAACATCAATTTTTACTTAACGCTTGACTATATGCGTACGATCAACTAACTTGCATAACATTGTAGCACTTGACACACAAATCATGACATAGATTAAAATTACTTCCATTCAAAGAGCGGTTAGTTATCGGTTGGGCCGAAAATTGTTGGCTTCGTTGCGTTGTTCTAAGTTAACGAAAAAAAGATGCAAATGTTGCAAGGCTCATGAACTTTTAAGCTATATTTGCGAATAATAAAACAATGGATGTCCGCATAGCCCAGACATTGAAAACAGAAGCAAATTTATTCTTAGTTATGCATGAAGTCTTTCGGTAAAATTATTGTTGAACCGTTTAGTTCTTGAGTGTCGTTTTCAATTTTTACGCAATAGGCTTTGCCTAGACTGTTTAACATTTTTCGATTATAAGTGAGTAATTTTCCTTATTTAATACACTACATTTGCTAGACTGTTTTTTAGATAAACGCCGACATTCATGTGGTGTGGTGTGGTCAAAAATCAACTTCAAAGTCTGCAAAACATAAAAAATGTGGATACGAGAGACGACAGATTAGGAATGTTTTGCAACCAATATGGGCCAAACAAATCCAGCTCCGTTTCCTTAATAGAGAATGGTTCTAGCAAATCAAAAGTAGAATTTTGTGTTTCATCACTACAGACAGATTTTTATACCAATATACTGTAACGGAAATGGCCTGGGGTACTCACGTTTGGAATGGGGGACGAAATTCATGGTGTTTCAGTAAATGGGAGCCCCATTTGGGCCCCATTTACTGTCAAATATGACACTGACAAGCGGGAAGTTTCGCACCTGTTCTGGAGATTTCTAGAACTATCTGGAATACCTGGAGAAAAGGATATAAGCGACGACGAGAACCAGACCGGGGAAGTGAAGTGACAGGAGCGACCAAGTGCAGAAGAAGTTAAACTCCGGGAGCCGGAAACGCGTGTTTTCCGTGTGTTATTGTTATTGTTAGTGAAGTTGACGGTAACTTTGAAGTTAGTTTGTTCCTGTTCCGTAGTTAAAGTTGTACCGAGTG